GGTACAATGTGTGAAACCCATTTTTGGTGTCCCCCGCCGTGATATTCTTGGAATATTGCTAAAAGCGGCGTAAGTCCAATAGAATTCTGACTAGCAGGTTCCACCAACAGCACTAAACAGTACAAAAATCACTGCTTGGAGCCACTTTAGGGCTAGAGCTCGTGGCCACAGACTGATATAGCAAGTTTAATACAGTTTAAAACAATACAAGTCATATCACAGAGTGTTAGCTCAGTATTTGGGGAAAACTCAAAGTCATCAGGTTTTGACATTTACCAATTCCACAGAACTCTCGAATTTACATATTAAGCATAAGGACCAAGGAATAAAAACTGACACTATTTGGGGATGTAATACAGAACTAGAACAAAAACTGAAAATGTTTTGTCACATTACATCAGACAGAGAGCATAAAGACACTTATCAAGACACAAGACTTTACAGCTATCAGTGGAAGAAATATTCCCCAATATTAACATTACACAGCGCAGTCTAAATTATATTTTCAAACCAGAAGAGGTTATTGGCTCTGGATGTTTAATAGTGTCTGACACAGGAGCTGAATACTCTTGACAAGCTTGGACATTGTCTGATGTTGCCATTTGGACAAGCTACTACACAAAGCTTTTATGCTTTTAACAATTTGCTATAGGGTCGTAATCAATACCTTTATTGATACAAGGATCCCACATTCCATCTAGAATCAATAATATTGGAGATCACAGGTTTACATAAGTTATTTTGATATGTTAAAATAAAAAAATTGGGGTTGCCTGTAAACATCTAAACAATTGTTTGTGTAGCAATAATGTTAATAATACTACTCAACTGTTGATAGGGATTATCGTGTGTAGGTGTGTGTGTGTGCGTGCGTGCGTGCACGCACACACATTATCTCCATATATACACTTGACATATAAAAAGAGGTAGTTTTGTGTATCTTGGGCTGTTACAGTTAACTCAAGTATTCAGTGATTCAAACCATATTTCTGAATTGATTCAATTCGATATTCATAATCACTAGAAATGAACGTTGACAAAAAAAATTAATAAAGAGTGTTTTTCAGTTTTTACTTGAAGTGAGATTTGCTAAATAGAATATATCCAAGCTAGGCCAGGATAATAGACAAAACTCTTATATATTTCATTTGGCACTGATTTGTTCACTGGTCATCGTTGTGTCAAATTAACACCACCAACATGGTCAAAAGAGGTCAAATAATACATTTTGTTCTTATCTGATGGAAAATAATATATGAAACATCATTTGGTGATGTGATATAGTACTTGTGGAAAATATTTATATGCTCTATGTTATATTCATGATATCATACTGGCCTCAGTTGATTCGTTGAAGCCCTAATGGATCATAAAAAACATCCTATCTTTAGTGGAGGAGTATAATGCATACATCTGTAATATACCCTCTAATAAATATTTTAAGAGTTAGAAAGGAAAGGGTGTCGAACGGCTTTGTCAAACATATGACGACGTGCATGCGTGTCATGAAGAGTGAGTGAGTTTGATTTTATGCTGCTTTTAGCAATATTCAAGGAATATCACAGAGAGGGGACACCAAAAATGTCTTCATGAAGAAACGGTGTGAACCCCATTTCTGGTGTATCCTGCCATGATATTGCTGGAATATTGCTAAAAGCGGTGTAAAATCAAACTCACTCACTCACTCACTCATGAAACCAGTGGTTGACAGTATAAGCAACCTTCAAAATGTTGGGTTATGACGTCTTATACTGTTGGACCTCCTGATCCCTAACCCAGTCAAATCGTAAATGTACTTAGAACCTATTCTGCCTTGAATCATTTGAATCGGAATCACATTATTATCCCTCCATTACAATAACACTCACGGGCAGGAAGAATACTTCTCATATTAAAACTGAATTCCATCTAACTTCAAAGTTGACATTGTATGTAGTTCCAAATATATAACATTTCAAATGACTACTCAGGGGCAGATTCAGGACTTTGGAGAAGGGGGGTGCACATATATCATTAAGTCCAAAGGTTAGGTGGAAATGCTCCTCAGGAAAAACGTCCTGGGAAGGGGGGGATGCACACCCCTGCACCCCCGTAAACCCCAACAACCCCACCCACCCCTACTATAAAAAAACAGTGACTGGCTTAAAAGATCGATAATTGGAAATATCGTCGATGGGTATAATTATTAATGATTATCAATATGAAAATTGTATCATCACTTATAACTTACTTAAACTATTGTCATGAAATAATGTTTCTATTTCCTCACACAACACACAAGGTTAGGTCTTTATTCATGGCTTCTCCTACAACATGGTCAGGATGGTGTTTTAATAGTACAGTGTTCACGAATTGTGTCTCAAAGTAACAGGACATTGGGTCCTGTAAGTTTCAGATGTCTGTCTGACCCATTAGAAATTCACAGGACCCATAGAATAAAATTAAACACACATTTCAGATTTAACATTTCTTATAATTGGCATTGAAATTATAAACAAACATAAGATTTATAAACAGCAAACAAGTGACACATGTCATATATAACAACTTCAGTCAAAGTCATTGTGAAATATACGGTCAGACACTGGGGCTGGCGGGTTGTAGACTTCTGTCTGACCGTTGGCGAATCTGCCAGATTTGTCAGAGGGTCAGATGCTATTCGTGAACACTGATAGTAATCCATGCTTCAGTACGACACCACTCACTAGTGATGTGAAATGTGTTGATTTCATCCAGATTTTGGGGGCATCTATGCTCAAAGTTACTTTTCCAATATTTATCCATCATAGACAGACATTCCATAAACAGTTACCAATTTCTATGGTCTATATGGATAGCTGGCCCTGAACTGTATTATATACCTCAGTAAATGTTTTCACAAAACCGTTCTTAATTGGGGGGATGATTTCAATTAACGATTCTTAAAATGTGATATTTCTGATGTCTGTATTATATATAACAGTGGATATTGACGCAAGAGAATAAATTGTATGATTTCAACTATTAGTCTATTACAGCTCAAAATATCTTTCCTCTATTGAGTAAGTAGCGTTTAAAAGTTAGGATTATGATATTCATGACAGGGAACCTCAAAAAGTGGTTTTCATCTTCCACTTGTGTTGAGAATCAAACCCAGGACTTCAACATGACAAGCTAACACTTTAACTATTGAACTACACAAATGTCCATCTTTCTTCTCAAATAGACCTTCAGAGAATCACTGACGGACAGATATATACCATTCAGAAGAGGTTAGAGAACATCCAATACACTACAAAAGTAACTGTAGTAATAGGAAAGAAAGGTGTTCTTTAATTTCTTTGAGTAGTATAGATTGTATTTCATATGAACTAACTCAGTTATTCAAAACAACGGAATAGAGTTCAGAAATCACAGAAAAAGATGAAGTTGGTTGGATGTGTTTAGATAAAATATGTACTGTTACATACTAAAAGAATTATTACTATTCACTCAAACTGGTGTCATAATACATCAATCTTAACGGATGCCATTTCAGGTTGATCGATGAGCATGTTTTCAGGGACATAACTATAAAATGGATCAAGATACAAATTCCAAAACAGAACTTGTTGAATATAGCTATATAGACACTCAGGCCGAAATTTGTAGGGTAGTTCTGAATCACCTCATTTCATGGTTTGAAAATAAATTATCCTGAAACACCTCATCTTGTCAAGTTTTACATCTATTTATGTGTGATGTTTACCTGTATCCTATTAAAAGATTAGCAGAATGTGATGGCATGACATAAATAATTAACAGTAAACATACTTTTATAGTGTATAAACTCATGCTTACATCCAGTCCAATTACAACACAATTGCTATTGAGTATCATATATCTATACTCACATTTATTTATGAATATACTAAGAGTCATATGGCCCTGAGTGTCAAACAACCTGAGTGACACAAGGTACTTAATTGTAAGCAAAAAAAATATTTCATTGTATGCATATAAATCTTCCTTGAAAAGGATTAAAAAAATAATAATATATGGTGTACTTTAATTCAGATGGAACAGCAGAACCAGCAAAGTCAGGCTACATTGAATAATATAATGCTTCTACATGAAATCAATTGGCCACTCTGCTAATTCACCCTCAAATAAACAACCAATATTGACTACCTACTCCTACACATACCTTTATACAATAAAAACACTCTAACACAAATTAACAAATGTTGCTCAGAGGCAACATAAAAACCTGAGTTGACAATGCTGCAATCAGTAAGTAATGTCACGAGATGGAAACAAAACACACGAAAAAAATATGACCTAAAACATGCAAATATATCCTTAGCGGCGAAATTGTGACTTACTCAACCCACCATTACAACCGATCCAGCTTGGACATCCCCCAGTGAGGACAGCGAAAAAACCCACTAAATGTTTTAAAAACGTTTGAGAATTTTCAAAATACACAACACCAAACAACGGAATGAAAACATTACCACGTGGTATGATTGTTTACAACCGGCAAACGTACGAAATAAGAGAGAAAATGCGAGTGAAAGTCACTGTCAGCTAACTCAACGCGAAATGAATATGTCGAGAGAGATAAAATGGCTGTTGTCGAGAAGAAATATAATGGTCAATAACTACGAACATTCACACAAGAAAGATGACAAGCGTCGATGGAAGTTTTCTTCAAAAATACGATGGAAATAGCCTTCAAATACCACAATATACACACCAAATGAAAGCTTGGAAACTAAGGAACACTTCTATGACAATATTTCCAAAGTGCGAGTTAAATATGATACCGTTTTTTGCGTCCAAATGCTGTCGAAGCGAATCTTGCAGATCCATAGGTTGAGGAACAAAGTAAATCGCGGAGGATAACGCTATTTATATGATTGAACAACGCATCAAAACACCGGCAACTGAACACTCACTGGCCCTAGAGGCTACTGGAGATTATAGTGACATTCACACTGGCATATAAGACGAAAATCTGAGAAAATAAGCCAAAAAACCTGATTAGAGTTCCGCTTCTTCTTTTCCGAGGAAAATGGAGTAGATTGAGACAGGTTTTCAGGTTGAGCGCATGTGGCAGGCAGAGTTCGTGACGTCATCAGCCATAGCAAACAATGTTACTGTGAGACGAGAAGATATAGATGATCATTTAGACATTCTCGAAAATATCACTGTTGCTTCTCTGGTATCTGACATCATTCCTGAACATTTGTTGTCATTAATGTGAGGATCTACTGCCAGGATTTTGAAATTATGGACAGGCGTTTGACATTTCTTTGTTCAGAGAATGTATTTCTTTCAGCAGTGATTGTGAGACATGATATGATTCTCACCTTAGTGCTAGTTTATTTGACGATTATTTGATTTGCGGTTTTTACTGCTATTTCTACGATATTTCAGCTTTCTAGAGCCACCCTACACTTGCGATGGCAAGCTAGGCCGGGCTAGCCATTCCGACAAAGACTACAGTGTATTTTTCACCGAGTAAGCGAGATCACACATAGAAGTATCTGATACTAGGACTCCACGGAAAATTAGGCCGCATGTCGTACAAGCTTGCAGTTCATAGTGCGGGACCGGTCTATGTTGAAATTGAAGGGGGGTCGGGTTGTTTATTGTTAATTCGTTTTCCCTTTGTTGAGAAAAGTGAAATCATTCGTGCGTTACACACTTGACAGAAACTTAAACCAAGCAAGTTTCGTTAACCCAGTGGTATTAATATTTCATTCCTGTTAAGATTAAACTGATATGTGACGAGTTGTTGCGACCTGTCACCCTCATCTGCATTAACATAAATTGTCATAATCTAATCCCGCAATCTATATAACTACAGTCGAAACACTCCTGTACATATTGGAGGCTTTCAAGCAACATATTTTAAAATACTCAGTTTATTTTAAGCTCGTGATGGTATTGATGCACGAGAAATGTATATTTTTACAAAACGATATAACCCGAATGCGTTAACATTTATATAGATCTATATATATTCTTTGTTGATTATATTTTGTTGTTGTTTTTTTTGGTCATATAGATATGAGTTCTTTTCTAAATAATTCATACATATATACTTAAACAATATTTTTACCTTACATTAATCGCTTTCAAACCCAATATATCTTTGAAGGAATGTTTTATGTGATATTTCTAATGAGTGAAAATGTATTTACGTCAAATGATTCCTGTGTCTCCATCTTCATAACAATGTCCTTGTCTGTTAGTTCGTAGGCATTTTATGGCACAATGTTTATATATTTAGCGTTTGGTTTATTTAATGACTACATGCAACATTCATACATCGGAATTAAGATCAAGGTCGCAAATGTCTATTTCGGTTCTGGCAGATAGTCAGTTCTTGTCTGTTCTGGGGTATTTCGAGAATCAGCGACAAGTGCGTGATTTATAAGTGGCGTATGACGTCACAAGTAACGATGGCGTCATCAATGTATTGTGTCGTTCGAAGAAAACATGTGCTTGGAACATATTTATTCCGTCGTAGAACACGAATGAAGGAAATAATCAACAGGAACAAAACAAATGAATTGATGATGAAAATACACCACGCATGACCTTTTCAGCTTGTGGACGTTGAAGTACTTCTACACAAATGGCCCATGACCATAGACTATCTACCTTTTAAATTTTTTAATTTTTTTATTTTTAGTCCTGTTTAGTACAGTTGATTAAATCGAAAATGTCTAGAATGGCTGTGTTATGGAATTTACATTTAGAAAAAAAGTCAGAAGAAATAACTTTGAATAAACATTTTTTCAATAAGAATATTTATACAATATAGAATATAATGATATAATATTAAATGTTATCCTAGTAGAAATATTCCTCGTGTAAGTAATTATGTTAGACATGAATACACTAGTTTCAGTAAACTCATGAACATCTCATGAATAGGCAATCTTACATTAATACTTTGTAGGCAAATACTACTACTTCTAGCCTTGCTCCAAGGCTGTACTGAATGCTGAGCCCATGGATGTATAGTAACTCTATCCTTTGAAGAGGCAAGTTTAGATAAGCGGACCCCAGTCTGTTATTTATTATATTTTTAGAAATTATCATTTAAATTATTAATCTTTATCTTAGAGACTTGTGCAAGTTTGTATTACTCCAAACAAAGAGACTTTCGCAGACCGATGGCATCTCGTGTTTGTCACCCCCGGGACAATGACCAGTAGTTAGCGCGATGTGGGCCACACTTCTGTCACGAATAACTGTGGGTACTAATTAGCGTTTCAACAAGTGGATCCTTTTGTGATGTTTTATCCTGCATATTTATACAAACCTGTATATAGTGTTATGAGTTTTTTTGTTTTCTCAAATATTCATTCCATCTGAATATATTGCTGCTTTATTTTGCATAATTAGCAGATATTGTTTTAGGTAATGATTGATCCTATGCATTTTTGCTCAGATTGACCGCGAACTTGTGAGTACCAAGACTAAGCCTCATGTCGTAAAATACTGGAAGATTTTGTCAATATAAACCTTTTTAAACACAAGAGACATGTTTCCGAGCGTGCGCTGGTCGAGCGGTAATGGCAGATTGATATTTTATGTCCTCTTCAACAGGTTTCACTGAAACGCTTTGCACGATATGTACACGAAATGCCCTCAAACGAATTTGCATATTTCAACCGAATATTTACATGCTAATGTCTCGGTATTCGTTTCCATACCAGCATCCATTCAGTGTTGGTATGTCTAAGGTGCTGTATACTGTGTCCGTATAAGAAGTATTGTACAATTGTATGATTTAACCAGTATAATATTTGCTTTTTATGTTCATTCAGGTGAAGGCGTGGTTGCTCTGTATCAACAACGATGACGTTTCGTTTGATCACTAGCTTCAGTATTGCGAGCTGTTCACTCGGTCGTGTTTATGAGTTACATATTTCATAATTCACATTAAATCGGTGTTCTGTGACACATGTTAACAGGTCAACATGGACCCGACACCTTTCTCCCATATGAAAATGGCGCTCTGTATAATAGTGACATAAGGGTTCGTTAAACACAACCCAATCACTCCACGCACTATATCGTTTTTTAAACATCGTGTGTGTACGTGCGGGCGCGCGCATAGATTCTCTCTCTCTCTCTCTCTCTCTCTCTCTCTCTCTCTCTCTCTCTCTCTCTCTCTCTCTCTCTCTCTCTCTCACACTATATATATATATATATATATATATATATATATATATATACATACATACATATATATATAATACACCAAGAACATTATATATATATATATGTTACTGGAGACAAGTTTAATCAGTGATTATGTCTAATGCCCGTTTCACTCATTTGACATAAAATGAGAGCTATCATGGCGTATCTTGGGCTGTTACACATGAGACTGGTGTCCCCCGCCGTGATATTGCAAAAGCGGCGTAAAACCATACTCACTCCCTCACATACGACTATTTTAGGCCTAATCCATACCTTTCAACCAAATCACAAGATTGCTTCTCGCGACATACATGTTTCTCTGCCTCACGAGGATTGTACAGACTCACACGCTGCTCAAAGATGCTGTATTTGCCGTGTCCAAATCAAGGCTGTCATATACTTGTGTTTCCTACCCCTGTTGTTCTTTCCTTTCATCTCTTATAAAGAAATACCCGTTACTCAACACAGACTTCCGCCTGGGGTATCAAAAAGCCCTGGACATGCATGAACATGGTATTTTACATCTGATCAGCACCTGTTAGATGTTTTCACAACAACTAACACACTACTCGCTAATTAACGCTAGTAAAACTCAGATGCCATATATATCACGCATGTATGTATGATTCTAATTTACATATTACCTTGAAGTGCAGGAAAGTACAGGGTCGCGGCAAACAGTAAGTCTAAAATGTTGAACCAAAGTGAAAATGTAAGATGCTCGTCATTTTTTAAAGATTTGTGATACAAAATCACCGATGCTTAAAATTTCTTCTTTTAAATTGTCCCGAAAGCAAGATATCTTTTCGGTGCTGTTTCGTCAAAAAGTTTTTTTTATGATAAACAAGAAACGTGTTTTAGTATTATGTCATTTACATCTGTAAATCTATAATTTCACGATATGTTACCGTCCTTCTAACTAGACGAGGCGCTCCATGGTGTTGCAGTGTATTCACGTCTAAGTGTAAACACACGGTAATGAAAACCATCTTATCATAAAAAAAATTCTCTACAATAATACACAATGAGTGAGTGAGTTTAGTTTTACGCCGCTTTTCGCAATATTCAAGCAATATCACGACGGGGGACATCAGAAATGGATTTCACACAGACAGACAGACAGACAGACAGATATTTTATTTCAGTCTCACCTCACATAAAATACATACTGTATATAAATATATTTATAAAATATAGCATATAAGTGAGCCACCCTTTAAGGGTTATGAGAGACTAATGTATTAAAACATTATAAATACTAAATAATAAATAATTATATAGGTATAAAACAGTGTAAAATCTATCCGTATAAAATATGTTTTCTTCTTTGCAAGATATAAAAGCAGGTTTTGGCACTGAAATATACATGGTGTTTAAAAAGTAAAACTAATTTATCATCATCACAAAGATCTAAGAAGTTGGGATAGCTAAAACAGACATTTTCATATAAACTTTCACGCAAATCATCATACACGGGGCAATACAACAGAACGTGTCTTTCATCCTCAACACTCTCACTACACTGGAAACATACCCTCTCATTCACATTCACATTCACATTTGTATATCTGCCGGTTTCCAAATGCAGAGGAGCAGTACCTGATCTGAATTTGGAGAAGGCAGAGCTTTAAGAACGGGGCATACTCATACTCACATAACTTTCACAGCCATACACATCCTTAAACATTCGATGCGTTCGTAATTTATTACCTCCCGTTCTACCGCTTGGCTTGTGTAATAACTCATACCAATCATTCACATACTTCTGCATACAAATATCTCGCACCTTCTCGCATACCCGTTTAACATTAACATCAGCTTCCACACTAAGGCCCCATTCATTTAACCTTGCTTTTACTCGGAAATTCCAATTTCTCACACATCCACTCGCACAACTCTCCGACCGTATAAATACATACTTATTTATTCTAAAAGACATTTTTCTAAAACGACAGTATTGTCTAACAATACATATCCATTGTCTAACAATTGGAGGGATCCATCCCATGTCTCCATTCACTGCAACGTTAGGAGCATATTTACCCACCCCCAAGAAAAATCTCAAAGCACGATGGTGGACAGCATTTATTGCGGATACCTCCCGATGTCCCCATATAGATGCCCCA